CCCATAACCCCCCCCCCAGACCCCCCAGACACCCCCATGCATATCATCACACACACACACACACACACACACACACACACACACACACACATATATATATATATATATATTATATATATATGTATATACGTATAAATACGGAATGTAACTATACATAAATGATTCATTGTCGCACTATCTGTGTAGGGGTGAATATTATTTTCTATCGACCTACAGCATCAACAGATTTTTCTGGCGAGCACAGATACTGGCTGTACAAATTACCACATATGAATAGTATGGATGGAATGATAAAGCCACCCTTGAACATAATACTCCCATACTTTGCGCAATCTTAGACGCATAGAAATCGATTGCACACAACAGGCATACGCTTCACCCAAGCAACCACCTACAGCAATGCATAAAGGACACCCTAGTTAGTACTGTCACTGCTCAGTCCGAGTAAACACGCTCCCGTTCATACTTCCATTCACATATATACCGAGTACTGACCAAGAGACACACGAATTCTCACCTCTTCCCCATCGGCAACCACAAGCACATGCGTACGTACACCATACTCATCCAGCATGCTCAGACTGGTCATAGCTCTAATACCGCTGTTCATTCTATCCGTATACGTTATATGATGCGACAGCTTAATTCTCCACAAAGTGTCGAATATCGACCCCAGTCCCGTAATTGTACCCGTACTATCCGCTGCTACGATGGAATTAAACCTAGGTTTATCTGTGCCTGTGTACACATCTGTGTCAACACAAACAGCAACTACACTGCTTCCATCGTGCAAGCACTTCTGTCTGAACAATCGATTGTCTGACAGCACAGATAAGACGCCGTCTGTATCGCCCGTCACTATGTTCACCTCCCCAAATTCAAACAGATTGTGTGCGAGCACGTGTGACAGACACCCACCCTTGATCTCCACCTTATTAACCTTCTGGTTGTGTGCAATCGCATTCGAGTGCTTTGATGGTACTGCATGTCGACTGAGGTGTACATCCGCATTCGCATGTGCATTCATAGTATCATAAGAACTTTTCGCTGACGCCACCTCAGCGTCGCTTGATTCCTGTACATCCCTCTCGTGTGGGTGTGTGTGCACGCGTGCTAAAGCTGGCCTGTAGTATAAGACCTGCCCATTGGATGTGCCCAACACAACACTTTCGTGCGAGGTCTTAAAAGGCTTGCCGACAGTCATAGATGTGATATGGCAGTCAGCTACCACACTGGTGGTCACAGGCTTTAAGATCATGTTGCTGATGAGGTGACACTATACAGTTTGAGAACTGTAGGGTACATACGCGTATACGACATAGATATACCGCACAATCCAACGAGAAGATATACTACAAGGGGCCATCTATAAATACATACATTCTTTAGTATTATATAAACGTAAGTCCGGTATATATATTCATATTTTTAACATAAATTTTTAGGTTTTTTCAATGTATTTTTTTTGTGTTTAATCGGCGTTTTCAATATGTACCTGTCAAATCTCCACCAATCGACACGTCATCAAATTTATGGCGGGTCACAATAGCCAATAATATTCACGATTGATATCTGTCATCACTTGTCAAACCAGCATCATGCAGATCTTAGCTCATATTGATACATGGGTCTAAATATTTACAAGTTGTATATAAGGCAGTATAGCATAGACGTTCACATCGCAGTAGCTTCTACATAAACATAGTCTAATCTTAATAGACGTAGTAAATTAGAAGTCGTGGTCGACTTTATGCGTACTTGAGCCGTAATATCTGCATGGCTTGTGTGTGATCTCCTATTCCTTATATAGCGTAGCACTGTGTAATTCGACCATAGGTAGACCACAGAGAAATTTAAAACTAGTAGACAGCACAGTCACTAATACACGGTTTATTTCCTCATCGCACGAAAAGTCAGTTGTTTATAGTTAAGAGAAGACACAACACAGAACAGCGACTGGTACATGCCGAGGTCGACAGTACCCAAGAAAGTGATTCTGTCGAAATAGCTATCAGACTACAATCATGGACCGCAAGAAGGTACTACTTGTTGCTGTTGATGTTTCAGTTGTGTTATACGTTGCTATCTGTGAACTATAGCTCTACAATACATGTGGCTTTTACCGTGACCGCACTCCTTTTCCATGGACCACGTGGTTGTTCTTCACCCCGAAGTAAGATCCTACGTAACCATTACTGTGAATGTTCGCTGTGAAGAAGCTGGGTTAAGCTTGAAAGCGTGTGCATGTATCAGCTGACTGGCTGTCCGCTACTGTTGTATTATCAATATTGTACGCGAGTCATACTGAACCGACAAGGACATCTGCATATACAAACATACCCCATTCAATTCGGTTGGAATACGATTGTTGTGTGTCGCTGTCTTTGAAGTTCAAATCCTGCGTGCTAGTGGAATGCGTGGCTACAAGGAGCATCACCTCGCTTTCGCACGAACTTAATGGATAAACCGTCTCTTTAAATCTTAATCTATTCTGTTGCTATGCATAGTCTTACTCAGCGTCACAACTTATCTCCTTGTATAGTCTGGGACTATTGAGTCCTTCTTCAAACCAAAAGCCAAGACTCAGACCCTTCCAAGCGCAAGAACCAACAGACCTACCGCAGCAGCGACCTCTCAATGCAGGATGTCAAGTGTGGGTGGCATCGATAAGCATCCTGCACAGCCCGGGGGTGGTGCGAAGAATAGTGCCCTAGCCAATAGCAGCGGTACTGTGAAGTTCGGTACCAGCATGTGCAGGGTGAACGGTGGTGCTAAACCCAGCCTACTAAATATGGTCAGCAAGAACGGTGGTGCTAAACCCAGCCTACTAAATATGGTCAGCAAGAACGGTGGTGGAGTAGACAAGGGGACACACGGTGTACAAAGCGCCACATGCTGTGATAACGGACAGGCGGCAAGGAAAGCTGCCGCGATTGCCCGACGTACAGGTATGTGAACGTACAGTATATATACGAACGTAGTTGGGGAAGTTCGGGACTTGGTTTCGATAACTGCGCCAGAGGATGGTCTGTGCTGATTGATTGTAGCTGCACATGGGCTATTGTCTTCATGATGATAGGGTGAAGGGTTTGTTATGCAAAGTCTAGTCATTTGTTGGGGGAATATTAACCAGGATATCTCGCAGCATGAGGCAGAGAATCAGTGATGAAGATAGTAGGGCCTACTGACCAGTCTCGCCACACACTTTGTAGTCCGCCACCGTTCCCATAAACGAGTATTACGTACGTGCAAGGGTTTAATCTATAGAATGCGGAATATATACTTACTTTTTCGATAGTGCTTGATATACATTTTATATGATAGTAGACTACTCAATTTACACTGTATAAAGTAATAGAATACTCAATATACACTTAATATCTCGATCGAATCTATAGCATAGACGTAATGTATCAATAGAGATTCTAATATACACTTAATATATGACAAAAAATACTTAATATGCACTTAATATACCAATCGAATATTCTGATACACTTAATATAGCAACAGGATACTTAATATACACTAAATATTGCAATGTAACACCTATTTTACACTTTATAGATCGATCGAATACTTGATATACATTTAATATATCAATAGAGTGCTTAATATACATTTAATATGGCAATATAATATGACTATTATACACTTAATAGATCAATCGAATACTTCATATACACTTAATAGATCAATCGAATACTTCATATACATTTAATATAGCAATCGAATACCTCATATACACTTATTAGATCAATCGAATACTTCATATACACTTAATATAGCAATCGAATACTTCATATACACTTAATATAGCAATCGAATACTTCATATACACTTTATATATCAATAGAATACTTCATATACACTGCATATATCAACGGGATAATTAATATACACTAAATATAGCAATAGAATATAGCTATTATACACTTAATAGTTCAATCGAATACTTGGTATACACTTAATATAGCAGTCGAATACTGCATATACACTTGAATTATCACTAGAATACTGAAAATGATCATACGGCTATCGCGCACAGCTCTATCTCTTTCCAGGAAGCAATCGATGCAACCCCAAGTAGCCCAGCCACCAAACGGGACAGTTCGGTCCCAATCGTCGAGGCAACAAGTTAATTTAGTGCGCAAACCAATGAAATCCAGTAGCGGAGTGAGTAGCGTAAAGCAAAACCCTGGTAAGTCAACAACTACCTACTTTATATCCACCCGTTTGTATTCTTTCTATCGCTACTGTGTACGGTGTGTAATAACTAACAAACGAACCTTATAACCATCCCTTTTTGCGTTTGTATGTTTTCTTCAATCTGTGTCCGAGTGTGTTTGCCATTGCCCTCTGATTTGAAATTGCTCTTCACTCAGTGCCACAAGTCTAATGGGACTGCCTTATATTTGATATATGGGCCGTGGTTGTTCTGCGATACATATTTGTAGACCGCAGAGCTCAATACACATCCGCTATGCGCAAAGGGTTTCCTGACTGGGTAACTATAGGTTTAAAATTCGACCGACTGCTCGATCTTGGACACAATACGCTCATAAAGCTGAAAGGCCTAATCGCATCTCCCGTGTTGTATATATGCGCACCTACTGCGATGTTAAATACAATGCACAAGGCGTTAACCTTACTTAATCATATGTCCCGTCTTACCTACGATGCAGCTCACACATCACATGTTCCGTCTTACATACGATGCAGCTCACACAGTACATGTGTCGTCTTACATACGATACAACTCACACATCACATGTGTCGTCTTACATACGATACAACTCACACATCACATGTTCCGTCTTATATACGATGCAGCTCACACATCACATGTGTCGTCTTACATACGATACAACTCACACATCACATGTTTCGTCTTACCAACGATGCAG